GAGCGCCGGCCTGTCTCGGGGCCTGGCCGGCCTGGGGGTGGGGGAGAGCAGGGGTGGTGCCTGCGTGCGGGGGGCTCCGAGCTCCACGGAGAAAGGCTTCCTCCTGCTCAGCAGTGTAAGTCGGGGGCAGGTGCCTCGTGCGGGGAGGGGCCCAGAAATAGCTGTTGCTGCAGCTGGGTGCTCCGGCCAACACTGCCCCGTGCACTGCCCTGGCCCCAGCTGCCCTGCTATGCCTCCATTGTGCGGGGGCCATGCTGGTTCCTACACTGGCTCCATCCCCACTGACATCCTGCCCTAGCTTGCTCTCCTCTGCCAGAGAGTCTGTCTCTGCTCAGGTACCAGGTGCTGTCCTCTGCCTCCCAGCCCAGGAGTGATCTCCCTTCAACGCAGACATGCTCAGTCCTGTGGACTTCTGCTGCATGGTCCCCTGGGCCGCTGTGCTTTATTTCTCCCCCTGCTTCACCTGAAACACATTTCAGGCAGATTCTTGCTTGCAGGTCTCTGAGTTGTGGTGATGTTGGCTGTGCACTTGTCCCCTGGAGGAGGTGGAAGGAGGCTTGCAGTCACTGCACTGCCAGCATGTGCAGTCTTTCAGGGTCATCCAGGCTGCATCAGTCCTTTCCTTTCAGTCTTCTTCTGCTCACCCCTGAGGTCCGTCTCATCTCGCATTTTGGAACAGATCGTCCGACCTGTGTGTATCTGCAGCCAGTGTCAAATATTTCATAATGCACCTGTGCCAGAGCATTTGGGTGTGGGGTGCAGGGACTGTCAGCAAATCCAGCTGTCTAGGATTTAGCAGTCATGCATCCAGGAGTGCAGAAGGGTGTGTGCCCCACTGACATGTTGCCTGAAGCGATGAGGCAGAGGAAAAGAGCAGGCTGGTGTTGACTTGTTTCCCACAGTAGCCAGCGGCCTGGGAAGCACAGATGAAGCAAGGCACAGATCAGTTGGGTAGGATCCCAGCCACGACCAGGTGAAAGACTGATCGCTCAAGGCTGTGGTTTCCAATTGCCAGAGCCCTGGCTTTGTGCCTTCCTCTGTGTGAGTTGTTGTACTGCCCAGCAGAGCCCCTGAGCTCTGCTCCATGGTCCTTAGCCTTGATGCCCTGCCCCAGGGACAGCTGGAGCTTTGTGTTCGTTTATATCCTGCAGACTTTATGGGAGCGCCAGCTCGCCCACTGAAGCCAGTGCACCCAGACCTGCATGATGAACACACACCCACACCTGTGTACACACAAATGTTCACCGGTTGCATGCGTGTACATGCAACCATCTGCAGATGTATGTGCACACACATTTCATGGTACATGTGTTCTCTTTTGCCCTCATCTCTATGGTCAGTTCCTTTCTGCACTCTGAACTAAAACTCTTTGTATATCCTCGTCTCTTCCTCCTCAGTGTTTACCCCGCAACCCTGCTCGCCCTGTTCTGTCCGTCCCTCCAGGTACATTTTCCTGACATCTCTTGCTGTGGTTGCTTTCACAGGCTCATGAGCACAGCTCAGGGAAGAGAGCACGGGTGGCTGTGGCTGTGGTGGACACATTTATATGGCAGTCTCTGGCTTCCGTGGCCATCCCTGGCTTCACGATTAACCGCATCTGTGCTGCCTCCCTCTACCTCTTGGGCACCATGACCCGGTGGCCAGTCTCAGTCCGGAAGTGGACGACTACAGCTATCGGTCTCTCTGCCATCCCCTTCATTGTTAAACCCATTGACAGGTAAGGTAGAACCAAACACTGGGTGTCATAAATGATTTTTTCTTGGGAACAAAGTGCGGTTGTTCAGCTTTCCTGCATTTTCTGGGCTATGTCCATGTTCGTTGTCCCAGGGTAAATCCTAACAATGTTCATAAGTAGATTTTTTCCTGAGACATCACAAAGTCTTTCTGAATGGTAAACTCATGGAATAAGTGGCAGAACAGTGGTAGTTCATTCAACCACTCACCAAACTGAGTAGAAGGGCGATGTGTGTACAGGCCAATCCCGGGACATTTCTGTTCTGGGACACTGTGACAGGGCACTGTGTGTGCCTGCCACTTTAAGGGCTCACCAAGCAGCCCACAGGTGCTTGGTTGCAGTGGCCATTTTAGATCTCTGGTCCCCTATATAAACAGAGCGGTTTGCTGCTGGCAGGCCAGGCAGTAACTTCGCCTGGCTGCAAGGCTGCTTGGAACACCTGGAGATAAGGGAGGAGCTGTAGGGGATGGTCAGGAGGCTCCTGGTCCTGGGCACGACCTAAAACTGCACCCTGCTGGGAGTGGGTGGCCTGATGGGGCTCTCAGTGGGGCGGGAACCCCCAGGAAATGCCAGGCCAGTTACCACCCCGGTGAAAGGTGGATTGGGGTGCCTTAATAACCTCAGCTCCCACAACTGGGTGGGTTACCCGCTAGTGGGGTTCAGAAGGTGGCTCCAGGAGTGAGAGTGGGGCGATAGACTCAGAAGCCTGAGTTGGGATCCCCCGACTGGTCCATGCTGGGGCCAGGACCGGAAGGGTCGAAGGGTCAGGGGCCCACCGCGAGGGACGCTCAGAGCTGAGGGCCTGAGGTTTCAACTGGGCTGGAGGTGGGCCAGGGCCTGTGTGGCCAAAGGTGCCGGGGGATCACACCTGTAAGGGGGAGCAGGTCATGGAGCTAGGCACCCCTGACTGAAGGCGGAGTATGCCGCCTGAGGAGAGGAGTCTAGTTGGGGTCTGATTGGGAGGATTCTGGGGCCCAGTGTGAGGCCGGTGACATTAACAGCTCTGGATGCCATCTGCAAGGCTTGGGCTGTGGTGTAGGGGAGGAATGGAGCTGCAGATAATGACCCCTGGCATCACGGCAAGAAATGGGCAGCCTCTCACCTAATCAACAACTTAATTAATTAACAACAAGGCATGGCAGGAAAGAAGGCGGGCAGTTGGCCCAGAACAGGTGGGCAGGGCATTGGTAGATCAGCCCCGAATAGGCCCCCTGTTAGACACACACAAGCACAGCTTGTCCAGGGACAAATGCAGTGTCTGTTCCAAGACAGTGAAGTCAGCTGGTTAGACACTGGCCTAGAGGAAACTGGGATCTTAG